TACTACAAAGGCTTGCTAGGCTCTACTAAGGCCTGCCAGCCGTTGCTAATGCTTGGCAGGCCTTGCTTTCCGACCATCAGCTTCTGCTAGCAAACTCCATTTGCCATACCCCCTTAGGGGGGTCCCTCTAAATCATATTGCAAAATGCTAGCATGACTACTCTCAACAGTTTCCTGAGGCCGGGGCTCAACCCTAAACCCTAAACCCCTAAACTCCTAAACTTCCTAGACTTCCTACACTTCCTAAACCCTAAACCCTAAACTTCCTAAACATCCTAAACTTCCTAAACTTCCTAAACTTCCTAAACCCTAACCCTAAATGTAGGGTTTGGGCGGGGGGTTCCTTCAGTTCAGTTCTTTGGTCTTGAGGATTCAGAACTTTAGGGCTGCGGCTGTTCTTGTGTGGGCCTTGAGCTAGGGCTTCAACATGGAAGGATGGGTCATCCCAGACTATCCGCTCTGGCCCTTTGCCCAAGTCTACCACGGCTCGCATCTCACGGTCGGCTTTTTGGGTGGATATCTGCCCCAAAAGAGGTACGGCCTCCAGTTCCTCAGCGGTGCGAAGAAGGTGATGTTGGGCGATGTGTTTGTGGATCTCAGCAGCATGATCGGTACAGGTCTCCCACAACATGCCTTCATCGTTCGGGAGCTCCAGTCTGACAAGCTGCCCGCATGTCACCATGAGCACTATATGCAAGTAGGATCACAGTTAAAGTAACTATTGACTTCTCTTACTCTTCCTTTGGTTGTTGGGGCAGTCTTCATATTGTAAGCATTTCTTGATACCCGAAGTTTAGGGTTGTGGTTGCGAGGGAAGAGAAATTTGCCCTTGTAGGTCCAGAAGGAAGGGGTTGAGGTTGAACATGTATTGTTGGAACCCGACAAGACACCCTGGGCCTGTAACGCAATCGGGTTCCTAAAATAAGAAGGTGAGGGCAAGCTTTGCACTTTGCCACAGGCTGTCTATGCGCGGATCAGTGAGTTTTTCAAGGACCGCGCGTTGTGAAGGGTGTCAGAACGCTACGACATCAACCAATGGCCATGAGAACTTGATATTGAGGCTTTCGATTTCTTGCGGCTTTCGCGCGAACGGAGGCGGTGTAGGTCAGAGGATGAATTGGAAAGCCTAAGCCCTGAAACCTGAACCTCAAAACCTAGGCCTTAATCCAAAACAGCTTGCAGCATCAGAAGCCTCCCACATGTATGAAGAGCATAGCAACACCGCGGGCAATCACAGACCTAGTGTTGATGAAACCCTTAACCCTAAACCTTTGGACCCTCGATCCCCGAGTCCCATGGACGCTCTGAGACTCTGGTATGTGTTCCTTCCAGAGGGCTTAGTATTCAGGGTTTTACGTGTCAGGGTTTAGGGTTTAGGGTTCAGCGTTTAGGGTTTAGGGTTCAGGGTTTTTCGTGTNNAGGGTTTAGGGTTTAGCTAGGGTTTTCCTTCCTCACGGTTAGAAGGGCTCGTGAGTTAAGGGAATCTGAACCACGGGATGTTGACCTCCAAAGTTCCCTACACAACTTTCATAGAGGCCCCAGAAACGCTTTGCCAAGTGAGGAAGATGTGAGCCACTAGTTAAGGAAGTTAAGGGCTCCTATGCAGGTCTGAACGGTTAGTACAGTCGACCCTGTAGTTTATACCCCTCAACCGTCTTCTACCCTAACCCTAAACCCTAAAC